GCGAGGGAAATTAATTAAATCGACTAAACATGGGAGTAGGGGACCGGATATTGAGAGGGTTGGGACAAGGGAGTGGGGACAGGCTGGTCAGGGTGTCCTCGCATATAGTTTTCGCTTGAAATAAAAGAAAATGAAATCATTCGAATTTTGTGTTCTGGTTCGATCTCGTAATTAGCAGGAACAGTCGAAACTCGATCCTTTATGAATTTCTAATGATCGTCGTTATCTATCTCTCTCGTTTCTATACCATCATACATATATGCGTTATTGTGTGCGTATATATATATATACATATCTATATATATATATATGTATATGAAAGGACTCGCTTCGATGAACGAATTATTCGTCTAATTTTGGTCGATAACGGACAGTGATGCGTGTTAATATGGAAATATTGGGCTCTATCCGGTGGATGATGATCATAACTGCGGACTGGTAGTTTATATTAACGAACGTAGAAGGCTCGTTCCTAAATGAAATATATTACTGACACTTGTGGTTATAGTTAATTATAGAGAAAGAGAGGAAACGTGTAAAAGGTTTGTACTATTCTACTACTACTATTGTAATAATAATAATAATAATAATCGTAATCATGTAAGTACGAAATAATCATTTCTTTTCAATCGACATTAAATAATGCATTTCACATGAACGTAGTTTAATTCATACAGAAATTTATTGTTAATGAAGGTAATGACATATAAAAGTAGAATTCGTTTGTCCGAATCACTGATCCACCACCACCACCATCACCACCCTCTCTTTCCTTCCCCATTCTCTTTCGTTCTCTATTTCTGTTTACTCATCAATTTTCATGGAAAGCCAAATGCTCGTATAACCGTATGTAAAATATGCTTTTCCACAGTTTTTGTGATGGATTTGTAGCACGGTATGTGATAATGTATATATATATCATATATAATACATAATACTTTATAACGTAGTAGCATTTAAATTAGGTTAGTTCGTCTGTAGAACATATGTATTCCCCTCAGGAGATTACGGTTCTATTCATTATGAGTCGAAATGAAACTAACTGAAATATCTGAATTTTTTCTTATACCATTAAATACGATTAACGTGGGTAGATCGTAGCGTTGAAATGTTTTTTTTGGAATTTAATTTATTTGTATTTTTCAATGAACAAACATATTCTCGTTCATTCATATCGGTTTTCTATTCTTTAATAATTGATTTAAAAATTGAGAGAGAGAGAGAGAGAGAGAGTCAGGAATACGTAATATTAGCATTATGATAATAACTGTAAGTAAAACGATTATGTTGGCTCAGATAATGTTGAAAACAATGAGCAAAGTATCCGTATCGGAATCGAATTATTATCCATTGATACTGATAACATAAAATATCGATTTATTGTACCGATATATGCGCGAGTTCCTCTAAACTGTGCGTTAATATTAATTTTCAAGCTTTTACATTCTTCCCCTTCTCCTTTCCCTACCTACCCATCCCTTTTCCCCCTTTCCACTCATCCTTCTCTTCCCATTCTTCGTCTCTCCATTCGGTACACTCGTAACGTAGATTAATTGAGAAAGCCTGTTACCGAGAGACGCGAGACGGTGATTATTAATGGCTTAACAAAATATCCCATCTTCGGGACCTAAGTCTCACCTAAGGGTACCCGGAATTGTTGCGAGACTAAAGATTTATGATCGAATGGAAAACGTCGTAGTGTCGAACAAACAAATCGATCGATAATGCTGATTGGCTATGAGGCAAAGTTTTTAAATGGTCAGTCTTATCGTCTTTATCGTTTTATAAACGAGTCTTTCGTTTGGTATTGTCAGCTTTAACAATTTCAAAATACCAGCTGCCTCTCTCTCTCTTTCTCTCTCTTTCTCTCGCTCTCTGGTAAGAAAATAAAATTTCTGTCTGCTCGTTATCCCCTATGTAATGTATATATATACAGATTACTCATTAGTCCACTTTTTCGTTAGGTACTTCGTACGAAATTAGTAACGTCTATTTTAGTATCAGATAAAGTTGAAATCTAAAATTCAAAGTGCGCGTTATAATTCTTATAAATATTTGAATGAAAAATATATATACAATTGAAAAGAATATAATGTGATTTATGGGAAAAAAATATAATAAACAAATTAAATATATGTAATTCAAAGTAAGAACACGTTTTATCGTCTAATAGAATCGAAATGGGATAAAAGAAAATTGTCATTAAGGTAACGAATGATTCTTGTTGTTCGAGCCAGGATAAAAACATTAATTCGTCGCGGTAGTAAATCTAATCCTCTCGTTCGAAGAACGCCACTCCGTAACAGAAGTTCGTGGAAAACAATTCTCTTCTTCCAGGCTGCTAGGTCTCGAAACAACGAGCCACTAATCACGGGAACATTACTTCAAAACGGGGAAAAAATATTGGTGCCTGTAATCCGAAAAAATGGCGGATGGAAAAGTTAAAATCGCAATCGTAAGCATTTCCGATTACCAAACCGGTAATCAGAATACGCTGAATTACAAATTGCTATTTAACTACGCGCCGACCGCAACGAAATAGAATCAATAATTACGCATTTGTGTAACAAACTCGACGGAAACTCGTTCATCGATCGGTCCACCAACACGTAGAAATAATCGTTCGCTTTTGCGTTTTCCATATCAACGAAGTGCAACAAACAAAATCGTGATACGCTCTAACATAATTACGATAATTACAGAGTATCTCAGTATGAGATATGTTTTTTTTTTTTTTCTTCATTTTATTCCTTCTTCATTTTCCACGACTGAGTACAAAGTACGAAAATAGTATACACGTGTAAACCTCTTTGTGTGTTTCGTTTGTTGTATGATAATTATTAATTACAATTTTCATCATTTATATTAAATATCCGTCAGAGTAGCAGTACGGTAATCGTCCTTTTCTTTTTATTTTATTTACACGTACGAGCGCATACGAAATTATGAATATTTGTTTTAGAATATGCAGAATAAAAGGGAACGTTGAACGTTTGTTCGTTTCGTATTTCCAATGCGTACTTGTGCTTTTACCTTTAAACAGATAAAATAGGAATCTCCAAAGGGAAAACGTACAAGTTGAACTTGCACAGATACCAAAGCTCTAGAAATGCGAGTATTGAGTACGGGCAAAGCTGATAAATGATAGAAAAATGAAAAGAAAAAAGAATAGTTGATGCTATCTGATGTTCTTGGGTCACATGACCGAGCTCGTAAATACTTTCATCGTAATTGCATAATCGGAGACATAAGTCCAGCTGGCAGACGTTGAAACGACAAGAGACTAATTGATTTATCGCTTAGAAGTTATCGAACCGTTGTTATGATTGCGTGCTCACAATCAAGATGAGAAAGAGAAAGAAAGAAATATAACGAGTACGAGAACGAGAACGATCTTAAAGTAGCTCTTCTTAGAACGAGTTAGAGAAATTGTCTAAAACGTCAGACTCCTCCTCCACCGAGAACAAATGGGATTAAATGGCACGTGTATCTTCGAATATGTCATCGTAAGCAATATATTATTTAAGTGTTTTTGCACGCTTAAGTAATCCAAGTTAGTGCATTATAGTAAACGTTCATTACATAGCAAAATATCAATTTCGTTTTCCGTATTATCGATCACTGACTGCATCACTGTATATTAAGTTAATCAACATTTCATCTCATCTCAATAATATTCGATTTCATGCATCAACGTCAACATTCAATCATCGATACTCGTTACCAAACGTCACCTCGGCAAGATGCAATGACCATATTGTAACACGATTGAAAATGAAAGACGTAAAGACAGAATCGAGCTTCGCTCAAATACCCGAGGGAACGTTTTAATTTCAAATATTTTCTCTGTCGCGTACGCGGTTGAAGATATAGACGCTGGTAAAACAAATATTTCTTTACATACCATTTACCTTTGATGTTTCTCTTTCTATTCTATTCGTAAAATTGCATTGGTATTATAGGTCGATCGATCGATCGATCGATCAATCGATCGATTTACCTAAGATATGCGCGGATTAAACGGCAAAAATAAATATTTCACAAAAGTAAAAAATACATCAATAATAATTCTGTCACGAAATTGATTTAATTGTCGTTTTATATTACAAATTAATTTTATTTTTAAATGATCAAATAGTTTATTAACCTTACGAATAATAGAATTGCAGAAAATCACAGAGCATCATTTGCTTATCTATTCCACCGAAACGAGCTTACAATTATTGTTCAGCGCGTGCACTCACGTACAAAGTACATTTCCTTCGTACGTGCGTTCCAAAAGGAACTTAGTCGAATTGAAAGAATGGATCGACCCTTGCTGAAATTTGTTCGTGTTGACCCGAACAAGAAAAAAAGAAAAAAAAAGAATATATATTTTCGAGTCAAACAAAATTACGACTTTAATTAGTTTTCGGCCATTTCAGACGAATAAAAAAGAACGCTATCGCGAAAGAGATTAGATTTCCGTATGAAAATTTGCAGAAGTGCGAGAAAACGAAATGGTTTTAGGGAGTGTGGGGGGCCTGATGGGGATGAGGAAGAAAAATAAAATAAAAACGTTAAACGACTACGCGTTATTTTATAAAAATAGTGAGTGTCTTGAGTGGTGGTAAGGAAAAAAACAGTATTAAACAAAAAACTAAATATATCGATACCGTATAACGCGATATATATGTATATATTTCATATATATATATTTTTGCGAGCGTCTTTGATAACATTGGCCGACAAGAAGAAAAACGCGAATCGAAGTAAGCTCTTCTTCGTCCTTTCCATAAAGAGCGGGAAAAGTGGAGAAACTACTTGCAAAGGGAAAGAGAACCAAGAGCATAGGAGATAGAGAAAGGGTATTTGGATTGGTAGAAATAAGACAGGGGAATGAGAGTAAGGGAGAGATATAGTAACACGAATGTTACTCGGTTCGGTTCGCGTGTTAGTACACGATGTCGCCACGGGTCACGGTGGCGCTGTGCCGCTGGCGCGACGCTCAGTCCGCTACGGGGTCGCGAAGACTACGCACGGTCTTTAACACGTTCTTCAACGATTTTACTCCTTCCGGTAAGATTCGGTACTCTCGACGACGATTTCAGACGAAGACGCGCCAAAATTATTATATATATATAGTAATCATTTTTGAAATATATATATATATATATATATTAGTGTTTTCTCTGTGATACCGTGACATATCGTGACACGTTATTGACGATCATGCTTTCGTGTTTTATTACGATCAATTAGTGACAGTGTTCTATTCAACGACAGAGACTGCAACGAGCACATCTTTTTCTTGGTGAACAATCGAGGTGTTTTCGTGACAACTGAGAAGGAATCCTTCAACATTGACATCATTTTCTTCTTAAAGTTAGTACGTTGTTTTCTTATTTTTCTTTTTTAATTATTTATTTATTTATTTATTTATTTATTTTGGAACATTTCGAATCGTTTTTTAATATTGTTTTTTAAAGCACGTACATTTGTAAGTTTCTCTAATAAAAGTTAAGAAATAAGTTATTTAAAATAGTTCAAACCTCGTTTATGGTAACAGCTGTTAAATTTTCATGCTCTTTGTAATTGCATTCAAACATTTCGCTCTAACTTATTTATAGTTTTAACCCTGTTACCAGTTTTCCTTTATCTTTCGACTTTTTAATAACGTTTTTTTTTAATGTAATAAAGTTTTAAATTGTAAATAAGGACTTTTGATTGTTTGTCAACGAATTTGATTTAAACTGAGTTTATTGTTTTAAACGAATATTTAAGTTCAAAGATCATCGAATTAATTGTATTACCATGACGCAAACGATGTAATACAAAATGCATAATGTCTTTCTATTTACAGTTATTCTTAAGACAAACACAGTAATCGCATAAATTAGAATAAAAATTAAATAAAACAGGTGCATCGAGAATGAAAAGATACAAAAAAAAAAAAAAACTAGATTTGTATGATCCAATTATTGTAATATGATTCTCTTTCTCTTTAATGGCTTCCTCTCTTCATCGATAAGTCGGTGCGCCGCAGGTAGAATGCTTCGCAACGAACAAATTAAAAACTTTCCTTTTGCGATGAGGTAACTGAGATAATACTTTTAAAAGTGACTTTTCCTTCGTAGTACCACCACCCTCGTGGGTGATGATCGAGACAGCTAAAAGAAATGACGCGGTCGTGATGATATTAAAAAAACACGCTGGATAAAGTATTCAGTTGGAATACTTTATTAGGATCGTCTATTATAGTCGTAACTTATTTCCGTTTAGCTCGGGGCGGGCCTCAAGTCGCTAACAAACTTGCTCACGTTTCACCTGTTTCATTGTTCGAACTTTAGTAGGTCTCATAGATCACATGAATTGTTTTTCATTCCCCCTCCTTTTTTGTTTGTTTGTTTGTTTAGATCGTTTGTCCGCGAGAGATAAGAAAAAAACGATACACGCGTAAAAAAAAGAAAAAGAAGAAAAAAGAAAAAGAAGAAAAAAGAAAAAGAATAAAACATAGTGGTATTTTATTGCGACAATGTTTCTGCCAAATATACGCAGTAGTCCAGTTATCGCGAATTATTTCACGGTATTACGATTTCGGTTACGCTCGATGATGGTCCATAGTTCCCTTTTAAATCCTTTACTGCATAAATAATTAATCCTATACAATATCAGAGTATTCGCTTCCATATCGCGCTTCCACGGTACCCGACCAAAATAGGTTTGCTTTGTGAACAAACGTGGTTTGTGTTTTAAACGACGTAGCCGCACGATGCATTATGAAAACACTTTCATATCGAGTCTCTCTCTCTCTCTCTCTCTCTCTCTAGTCCGCGATATTATATTCAAAGGTAATATACCGGTAAATAATTTATCGCTTGTTCGTTAATACAAATTGGTATAAACGAAAAACGTGTTATTCTCGCGCTTACGTACCGAAGTTATATCAATTGAGTTAACTTTCAAGCTAACATCAAGTAAAACTTCTGATTAATTCGACTTACGGGTCAATTCTATTCGTTCAGTTAGAATCTTCGAAAATGTATACGCGCATGCGCTTTCCCTTCGCGTATGTGAACAGGTGTCCAAGGATCGAGAACGTATTCGTTTAACTACATATACAAATATATCCACCCTCAATTATAGCGAGCATCCCATTGTTTCTTGTTTTCTACAGCTAGGGACCACGCATGAATTCTAACTTAGGATGCATATACATATATACGCGCGAACTCGTATAAATGTATAAATGTATAAATACGAGTGTAAGCTTGAAACGATGTCGTTTCCGTAACTTACCGCTTTATCGATTAACCATTAGCAAAATTAACGTAGATATTCGTTGCTGATAGAACGACGATGGTCGTATTGAGGTTAAGGAACTTTGCGAATAAAGGAATTGCGAAAATGAATACTCGTTCGTATGTATATTCGATATGAAATCGGTGATAAAATTAATGAAACAGTGGAAGTAATATCTCTGAAACGTGACGTTGTTGAAAAAGTCAATTAACCTCGTTTTTAAAAAGGAATAGTCTTCTTCTTATTCTTCATCTTATTCTTTGTAAATTTCAAGATGAATAGGATGAGAACGGTGGGTGGTTGTAAAAGAGTAGAGTCAAGAAACGGTTATATTATTGTTCCAGGATTTAATCTTGGAATGAAGGCGATCTTGTGTTAGCCGTCGTTCATTTTATAATGGGTAGGAATGTTAAATAAGCTCTATGATGGTGCTCAACATAGCGAAAGCTACACTTAATTATTTTATGCGTCGCGTTTCTACCGAGTCCGCGAGGGTGGTACGAGAGTGAACCCTTTCCCTGCGTGCGCTAGTTTAGTTTCAAACTTTAATTAAAAAGGTAGACTCGCAATAAGGACTCCTTTCACCCCTCATCTCCTGCGGTCCTGCATCCCCACTAAAAAACGAACGAACGAACGAACGAACGAACGAACGAGCCAGCACTCTTCGAGACTCTCCTCGTACTATTTCAATTTCATTTACCTAAAATAAACAGTGCAATCACATTAGAATCCTCGAACAGTGTGTTCAAACTAACGTGCTTGTTCACTCATCGCGTAAATTGCGCAACTATTCGCTCTCGATCGAATGCTTTTCGAAAATCAAAGTAAAAGGAAATTGTGTGCAAATAATCGGGCCATTTTCGGACCGATATAAAATCACATAGAGAATACCAAAAGCAAATTATATCGACTGTAGCCCCGTTTACATTGCAAAGAATGCTCTTTAATGTATTATATTCATTTCCCGAATAAATCTTTGCCTAGAATTTTTACAAAATTAGTCTGACTGAACTATGTATTTTTCTCGTACCTTCCAAAACTACGTACGGCTCAATCAATTTAACACATTCGTTGCAGATCTGTAGAAGAGTAGAGTTATGGGTCAATGCGCATGTCTTTAGGATAGTATAGTTTTGTTCGTGTTGAGGGCAATTATAAGGTTGCTCGAAATGGACGGTGACACCGGGTCAATGTTGACTGACAATTGTGCACAATTTATGACGCGCCGTTTAGGTCGGCCAGCTCCTAACGCTAACTATACTTGTTGTCATCAGGGCATACCAAAAACCACGATTTACGTGACCGCAAACGATAAAAATGTCTATCGAGTGAAATCCGTGAATCGTGATTAATTATTTTTAAATTCATTCGTATTATTTTATTATTCTCCTTTCTCTTTCTATATATTCTTGATTTATTTGAGATTTATTCTTAACGAAATGAAATAAACCTTTAAATATAATATATATGTAAAAGCAAAGTGAACGAGTCTCGCGTTGCGGGCGTGATCGATAAACTTTTACTTTTCAACATTTTATTGCCTAATATAGATTTTGACGAAATATCATGTTCCTTCTTTCATAGGTTGTAGCAATGGGCTCCAATCCGTTTAAGTGCAGGGAATATTGATTTTGACAGAGACCATTTAATCTTATTTTATTTCCGACTGGTCGTTCGTGAAACGCGATTCGGTTTTTAAAAAATGCACAGGCACGAACATCGCCAACATTAATGTCTTTTTTTCTACGATATCGTAGTGATTGTGTGAGAATAGGAGAAGTACCAAGAACAGAGACTGGGTAGAAAGAAAGAGTAGGAGAGGAGAGAAAGAGGGGAAGGTCGACAGGTGCTCCACAACTTACATCGGGAAAACGAATCGTTTTCGAAATGAGGCCTCGCGAACGTGCAGAATGCACTGCTTCTAATCTGAGCTGCAACGACGACGACTAGAAATAGCGACGCCTAGAGCTCTTTTTATGCCCGACGCCATATGTGACACACCGGTGGTCGCTAGAGATTAGCTGAAAAGTGGTTGAAGAAGAAGAAGAAGAAGCCCTCCTTTCTCTTTCTCTCTCTCTTTCTCTCTCTGATAAAACTCCTTATCCGAAGTGAAAAATTTCTTTCTTCTACGTGCTTCACCTGGAGTCATTCGTTTGTTAAAGACGATAATGATGTTTGGATGTGTGATAATACTTTATAATATTCTTTTCTTTTTAAATGTCAACCTTACTTTTGTACATCCGTATTTTTTGAAATTCATCATCATTTCAAAATCATATTGTATTTTTTTTAATTGATTTATAATATTGTTTTAAAAACGCGAACGATCGTTTTTTTTAATTATTAATTGTAGAAAAAAAAAAAAAGAAAGAAAAAAGAATAAAAAGAAAAGAATTGTTACAAAGTTCAAGAACAAAAGCAATCAAACGAGAATGCCGGTGTACGTTGGTTGCACGTAGGTTAGATAAGAAACTCGAAAACCATTAGATCGTTACAGCACGTGGTTCCAGAATGTTAGCCAATGAGGAAAGAGGGCAAAGGGAAAGTAAAGTCGGGTGCAATACGCCGGCTAGTCGTTATCTTATTACCGATATTGCATCAGCGTTTGCCGCCCGCTTCTCAGCTCCTACCACAGTGTCCTATTCCTACTATCAGCACTCTTCTTCGTCCTGAACAAATGTTTGCACCGTGTTGCCACGAACAGATAGTGTGGTTCAAACCAGTAGACCAAGCGTGTAGAATAAAAAAAGAAAAGAAAGAGAGAGAGAGAAAGAGAGACAGAGTGAGAGAGAAAAGAGGGGAAAAGAGCTTTCTGTTTGCCATCAAGTGTACATGCGAACGCAATGAACATTCATGCGAAAGGGAATCCGTGTGAGCGTTCAACCAACCGATACTCGGGATTTCGCTCACTAATTTTAAGGGTCGAGTAGCGACTATCGAGAGTAATGGGTTGTTCTAGAGTGTTAATGAAGTTACACGAAAGAATGGAAGATTAATCAACGGATTTTACGATAACATTTGGGTAAAAACGTTTTACTTTATCGAAACATCGAACATTTTTTTTCAAATCGTATTCGTAAAAAAGTA